ATGGGTTCAAAGAGGGCATTGCATAAGCCCTCCAGAACCACAGCCTGGTCCAATGAGGGAACCTTAGTGCGCTGTACCGGCCTCAGCCTCAGGGTGCCACGACGGAAACGAGTGATAAGTGGGTGTCTTCCCAATGATTGACCACCCAGAAGGGCATGGTAAGCAGCTAAGGCCGCAACGTATACCTTGAGAGTGGAGGGAGATACCCCTGCGGAGAATCGCTCCTGCAGAAACTCCAGAACTGTACCAATTTGGCAGTTGACTGGGTCCTGCAGTCGCTGTCCGCACCATGAAGCAAAAAGTGTCCACTTCAATGCGTACTGTTTCCTAGTGGTGGGAGCTCTGGACTGGAGTATAGTCTCAACAACCTCAGTTGAGAGACCAGATGCTAGGAGCTGTGCCCCCTCAGGGGCCATGCCCACAGCTTCCATAACTCCGGGCGGGGATGAAGAATGGCGCCCCCCGCCTGAGAGAGGAGGTCCCTCCTGATCGGAATCTCCAGCGGAGAGCCGTCGAGGAGGGACACCAAGTCCAAGAACCATACTCGGGCCGGCCAGAACGGGGCTACTAGCAACAGACAGACCCCATCCCGGAGTACCCTCTCCAGAACTCCCGGGAGCAGAGCGATGGGGGGAAAAGCGTACAGACGAAGCCTTGGCCACGTCTGCACCATGGCATCCAGCCCCAGTGGAGCTGGATGCGTGAGGGAGAACCAGAGCAGACAGTGTGTCGTTTCCTGCGATGCAAATAGATCCTCTCGATGCTGGCCTCTGGTGTTATTAGAGGAGCCAGTTCAGTGCCCTGAAGTGGATGACCGGCAGGGAACGACCGACCTGACTGCCGTAGCACCCTCACTCGAGGGGGCGAGCTCTCCTGTTCCGTACCGTCGCCAGGCGGCAGCTGGGAATTTCGCTCGTTGAAGCTCACTGAGCCCTGAAGCACCGAGGGTGGCAGGGGTATCAGTGACTCTCCGTGAGGGCACTGAGGAAGATCGGGCACCTTATACTGAGGTGTTATCCCTTCCTCCCCAGGTGGGGCTGCCCTCAGGGGCCTGACGATGTCGCAGATCCGTCTTTGGTCTAGAAGACCCCGACTGAGAGCGTCGCCCCAACTCCCGTTCTTTTTGCGGAGGGGTGCGGGCTGCACCGCTCTGTTTTTGTGACTGGCGGTATGAGGAGCTTGACGGCTGGGGCTGCTTCCCCTCAGCAGCCCATGGGCCTGGGAGCGACGAGGGAGGAACCGTTGAAACGCTGCCGCATGCTTTCTCCAATAATAATAATAATAATAATAACGGCAATCGCATTTAACAGTAGGCTAAAGGCTCATATTTGAATGTTCTTTTCATTTATTAAGAATTATAATCGTGTTTATGATGTGATTTAGCCTATGCACATTTGTCCAAAAGCCTGGCAGAGTGATCACAAGATGCTAGGCTAAAGTTTTGTATTGTTTTCAGAAAGGATGCGCATTCTCGTGTTTTTTCCTGTTAATTATCATGTTGCGCTGCGTGCCTGTTTTTCTTCAAAGCACCAACTTAGAATGCCTAATTTTGGTTTGATTGCTTGTGTTACATGAGAAAATAAATAATCTTGCTTACCTGATGTAATAGATTTAATGCGAGTGCAGTTCGGGTTGCGACTTGCGGTCTTTATGTCAAATGGTCTAGTCTGGTACAGAATTAAATTAGTGCTGCTGTTGGATAAGGGGTCGAGTGTTCTGTTAAGTACTGCTGGTGCACGTTTACCAAACAGGACCCGTGCAGGACTCTGCTTTACACTGCTTTGCGTCTCTCCGTCAGATAACCTCATGTGTGCGATGCGCCATTTACAGGTATTTCCCTAAACCACCGGTGCCACACAGCTCGTATATTTTTCCGCCAAGGGGTGAGAACGTAATTATTACTAAAACGATTATTTATTTTTGATAATTATTATTTTATTTCAGTTAGTTTTTCAATAACTGTTGTTAGTTTCGTTTAGTTTTAGTTTTTGAATTATTTTGTCATTTTTATTTTATTTCAGTTTACGAAAATAATTTTTTCATCAATCGTTTTTGTCTTAGTTTTAGTTTTAGTTTACGAAAATAACCTTGAACCACACAAGGATCTGGTATGCTAGTTTGTACAAACGGCGTGAGCGCAGACCTCCCTGGTGGTTGATGTAAGAGACCACTGCTGTGTTGTCGGAACGCACCAACACATGGTGACCTCTTAGGTCTAGGAGGAAGTGTCTTAGTTAGGGGTGCAACTTTCTGAAACGCGTAGATTTTTACAAAGCTCGTCATTCTAAAAAAGTGAGGTGTGCTCTGATTGGCCAGCTATACAGTGCGTTGTGATTGGCCGAATACCTCAAGCATGTGACGGAAATGTTACGCCCCTTAATATACTTTGATGCCGTCTCCCAGCAGGACGAGACTCAGTCCAGCTGCTCTGCTTGTGCACATCCCATCATCGGTTCTCTTTTAGCAGTTCAGTCAATGTACTGTTAGGAGTAACTGAATAACTCGGGATATTGGTTTATTTCGCATCAGAGGGAGTGTCAGGCACATTTATAAACCGAATAACAAGTAATTTGTGGATTTGTGCATACTGGAGACGCGAACCGTTTTAAATGATTCAGTTCGATTTGGTGAACTGGTTCGACCGGTTCACTAAGAAGATCCGGTTAAATAGAACGATTCGTTCACGATCCGGACATCACTAGACGAGACAAAACCAATAAAACCCATTACAAACGAGGCATTTGTTGCATCCAGTGGGGACATAATTATGGATTATAATGACTTATACTGTCTTTTTACGCGTTGCGTTGCATCGCGCCGCGTAAACATAAAACCATGTCTGCATTTGTGATCGGAGAAACAACAAACAACAAGCCTACTATACACTGCTCAAAACTCGCGTTTGAATCATCATTGGCAAATTATTTAAATATAAAAAACGTACTTACAGGATGTGAGTCAGAAGCGCCAGACTGTCCTTGCAAAGTTGGAACTGCCCCACTTTAAAGAAACAGCCTTTGTGCCACAGACGCATTAGGCTACTGGTTCAGGAAACAGTCCTCATCCATCCTCCATAAAATGCGCATTACACATCTGAATATTTGGGTTGAACTGTTCTGGAACAGTGTTGTAAATACAACTTAACCACTGATTTCTAGTTGTGTCCTCTTTTGGAAGGCCAAACAAAGTAGTTTAGCTTTCACAATGAAACACATAGCGACTCCACAACATGGCAGAGGCGGCAAGAGCGAGAATAAACGTTACGCCTTCTTTCTTTGCGTGAACATTTGGGCGGCGTTATGCAAATCTTCCCACATCGTGACATAGACGTGGGGGCGTGTTAGAACGAGCCGTTTTAGGTAGGTATGGTTGACTCTTAATTTTTATAAAGAATATCTCTTTGGATTTGAGACTTTAGTAGTCTTTGCAACTTTACAGATCTTCTTTATGCACCAAGAGCTTGTAACACTCCAAAGAGAAAGGAAAAATTGAAATCGCATCATATGAGCCCTTTAACATTAAGAAAGTGCTGTCACTTTAAGAGAACGCACTGATCCAGTGCACTGATGCTGTACATGGTGTAATGAGAGCAGCTAGCTCGGTGCCCTGTAACGGCAAACCGGCAGGGGACAACCGATCCAGCTGCTCTAGAGACCTACACGGAGGTGGTGAGCCTCTTAGCACCGCTACGTTCCCGGGCGGTGACTGAGAGTGGTGCTCGCGGGAGACCGCTACGCCCTGTAACTCTGGCAGGGTTAGCAGATCGATCTCCTGAGGGCACGGAGACGAACACCGTGTAATGAGGTGAAACCCGTTCCACCCCAGAAGGGCCACAGAGTGCTTGCTGAATGACAGAAAGCTGGTGCCGGTTCCACCGCACGTGCTTTTATAGCTTCCTGGTCATTATGTCACCCACCCGTGACGTCTCGCCCATCTATTGGACTGATTACACACGGGGTTCTGAGCCGGTCATGCTGAAGGGCTTTCCCAAAGCGTCCTCCGACGCAGCTGAAAAGGAACTACATTGCAGTTTTAAAACGATGAGAAAAAGTGAAAAATCATTAGCTTTAAGCATAAACAGACACCATGTTATGCGTTACCTGTTATCTTGGCTAAGCTCTTAAGCTGCTTTCTGTGTTATTTTTTCATTTAGATCTGAGCAATTCCAGTCCCCAACATCTTTTGGTAATTTCATCAGCTCATTTGGGCTGAGAGAATGAAGAAATTACTGTCTGCCTACTGTGCTCTGTGTGACTGATATTCTACAACATTCTACACAAAGATAAAAAGATTTGCACATTTATAAGAAAAGCGCACACAACAGGACCATAAAAATAGGTAATTTTTCTTTCTTAAAATAAAATAAAATAAATGTTGGTTTGTAGTTATTGCCAAATGTTGTTTTGAGGGTTATTATGAAGGTTGCTTATTATTTTTCTTTTTTATTTTTTTTTTCTTTTTTTTTCTTACAGTAACGTTTTTAACAGGGTTGAATGCTTGAGCTTGACTGCATTAGTCAATATAAAAGTTTGTCTAAAATTTAGAAAATTAAAGATAATGTAATGGGGGAGATGATAATATGGTTGCCTGCAAAATGAGGTACAAGTCTAAATATGTTTTTGGTAACTTTTGAAACCTTTTGAAAACCTTTTTTTCCATTTCCTTTTGCCATTCAGTTCAGTGATTTTCAAGATGGTTTTCTCTTGGCACAATGTCTTCGTTCTGGCACAGTGTTATTTTTGGCACAGCTGGGCAGTTTTTTGTAGCAAAATTTATTTTACATTCACCCAGCTGGATTTGCCTTGTACTTGGACACACTGTAATCCACAATTGCAATGTGCCGTGGATCAAACACTCTCTCTTTTGGATGTTCTCCCCTTTCTTCCTTCCAGCTCAGGGCGTTTTTTTTCTTTGCCATTGTTGTCTTTTTCTTTCTCACTGTGGATTTTTTCAGACACTGATATGTGTGAAGGTGCTGTAGTGTTATAATATGCAACAAAGCATATGGAAAGTGGAAACTTTTTTTACACAAATTAAGGGCAGATTTTCAATTAATATAGCTGATTTCACACGGTTCCTTGCACATTGCGGTGTTCTGACCTGAAAACACTGTTACCATAGTGCATGATTTGTAAACTAATGCATTTTGATATTTGCATCACACAACTAGCTCCATATGTAGGATTTTTCTGATATAGTAAATTTGCTCGGTAGTTCACCTGAAACAGTATTGCCCTTGCAATGCAGTGCACTCAGGTACGACTGCCATGGGTCATGATTAAAGAGCTCAAAGACTTTAAATGAATAAATGAAACAATTATTTCATATACATATTAATAAAAAATCTATTTAATAAAAAACTAATTAAAGGGATAGTTCAGACAAAATAATGGCTTTAAATTATCTTTTGTGGGTAATTTCTCAGCCTGATTTGATGTGCGATTAAAATGCAATTAATTAGATAAATTAATCACCACATCATGTAATTAATTATATCAAAAGTTGTAGTCGATTGACAGCCCTAATATATATATATATACAGTGGGGAAAAAAGTATTTAGTCAGCCACCAATTGTGCAAGTTCTCCCACTTAAAAAGATGAGAGAGGCCTGTAATTTTCATCATAGGTATACCTCAACTATGAGAGACAAAATTAGAAAAAAAAAATCCAGAAAATCACATTGTAGGATTTTTAAAGAATTTATTTGCAAATTATGGTGGAAAATAAGTATTTGGTCAATAACAAAATTTCATCTCAATACTTTGTTATTATATATATATATATATATATATATATATATATATATATCTTCCTATATTGTCTCCATTTACTGAGACAAATAAAAAAATATGGCTTGATATTATTGTTTCAACTGTTTCATATGTTGTAATGATTTGATTGCAAAAGAAAGTAGGTTCAGATGGTTCAGCAGGGGGCATGAACATGAACACTGCAGTTCTTTAACGTACCTGTAGGGGTAGTGATTTACAAGCTGAGGACACACTTCCATCCACTTACATTGGGAAAATACCACTCTAAAATATAAGAACCTACCCAAAACACTTATGTCACCATCAAACTCTAATGCTCGCGAGGAATATGGTTTTGCCCTCTATTTGTCAAAGCGTCCCCAGCTGAATTATGACCATTCAGTCAGACGTCCCCACAAGAATAGCATAACAACAACATTTGTACAACAACTATATCAGTATAGCACTGCATTAAAATGCATGAACTTTGTTTTATTTGACGGCTTCTATTTTGCATTTAAGTGAATAAAATCTTTGTTGTATGGCGACCATTATACTGCATCTCTAGAGGATGGCAACATTTATTATTTGCTCTGTTTGAGCAGGCCAGCAGTTTGTGGAAGTGTTTGTGTATCTGTTGCTATGGTAAGGGTTGAATTGGTGGAATAATATCAGATACCAAATTGGACCTGTGCACATGATGAAAGTAAATACGACCTACTGACTCCTCACATACGCTCACTGTGTTTCTGGGACTCTGGTAGTCATGGTGCAGGGTAAAACTGCCAGTAAGCTAATGCTATAAATGATTCAATTGTGTGTGAAGCACCACCAGTAGACACACAACAAAAGATGGCCACCCGAGAGAATGTCAACCAAAGCATACTTTTGACCCCAAAATGTCTAGATAGGCAGCCTGCTAGGCTTTGGATTTCTATTTGATCTATCTACTCAAGAAGAAAAATAATCTATCATAAATCATTATTTAATACATAAAAATACATATTCACAAACAGACTCCATACATGTTTATTTTAAACGCTTATTTTTACACACACCTCTCCCTCTCGTCTCTCTTTGTCACACACATGGTTTACTTCAGAGCTGTCTCAGCCATGCAGATAATTATTTTGCAGCAATATTAGCAGCCTGTTCCTTCTCATGAAAAATCATTAGATGCCAAAATTAGACACAAAATCACTAGAAGCAATTAGCTATTGTCTGTTTTCTAATAGAAATGAGCATATCAATGCACAAAGAACTGTTACATGTTACAATAATGCCTCAGCTGCTTTGAGCATAGGATGTCATACTTTGCTCATTTGGCTTTGCTAATTTGATCTTTTGACAATTAGTGCATGCATTTCTCTGTCAGCGCATGTTATATCTGACCTCTAAATATCCCCCAAATATGCTTATAAAGTTGCTTTGGCGACACCTAAAAATGCATACAGTCATATAACTTGTCAAAGCTGTGAATTTTGTCATTTATGCCAGCTGGGGTATATGCTTTGAATGTATACATGTGTCCTGATCGATCGTACATGTGTGGGTGTGTTTTTGTGTACGAGTTTGTGTTATGCCCTCAGTGTGCCAACCTCTTCAACCTTCCCTGGCACTCAAACCCACAGAAAGAGTAACATACCAGTGAAGCGGCTGGATTTGTTCAATAGAGGAACTCTCAAACCCATTGCCCTGCCAGATTCAGTATTTACATATTCAGAGAAGTCAAACGGCGGCCATGTTCTCACTACATGAAGTTGCCAGGCTTACAGAAGCTCAAATGCCTTTGCACAGACTGTGTAAGACATGCTCTAGTTCTGGCGTTCTGGCATTTGTTAGCTTCAATCTCCTTTTCATGTGGGCTTTGTTTACTTCTTCTGTTTGCACACTGTGATGTTTCTTTGCTCTGAATAAATGTTTAGAGAGATCTTATGGACTAAATGACGTTTCGAGTTGGCAGACGTTATTGAAAGCTGTAGCCTAAATATATACAGTATATATATATATATATACAGTGGGTACGGAAAGTATTCAGACCCCCTTAAATTTTTCACTCTTTGTTATATAGCAAAGGGTCTGAATATTTAGGACCATGTGATATTTCAGTTTTTTTTTTTTAATAAATCTGCAAAAATGTCAACAATTCTGTGTTTTTCTGTCAATATGGGGTGCTGTGTGTACATTAATGAGGAAAAAAAATTAACTTAAATGATTTTAGCAAATGGCTGCAATATAACAAAGAGTGAAAAATGTAAGGGGGTCTGAATACTTTCCGTACCCACTGTATATATATACTAGTGCTGGGCAACGATTAAAATTCTTAATCGCGATTAATAACAGACAATCATGCGATTAAGAATTTTAATAGTTGCCCAGCACTAATAATCTACTAATCTATTTATTAACTAATTAATCGCATTATGCACAAAATTCAATAATGTATTCAAAAGTAATGTAATGTGCACTTTTTTCATTTAAAAGTACTGCTATATGCACAAAAGTGCAATAACATTTGTTTTGCAAACACTTTAAACAAATAAGGTGCTTTTTTACAGCAGTATTCCTTTTACATAGTAGCAGTTAAAATATTTCTTGTAAATCTCAACTTATAACATTAATGTAATCAAATTAAATATAAAACAATCTATTTGCCACTGCCAGGGCATTAACGTTTTTATAGAAAATATTTTATAGTTTGTTATAGAAAAATAAGTTATGCTCAGAGTCCAGAGCCTCCATCATAACATTATAACAGGCACCTTAGAGACCTGCACTATCGCAATACCCAACGCAGCAGAGTGCGGCGTGGGACAACACTTGATGGGCGAGTGCGGGTGCGGGATGTGGGAGAATAAGGGTGTACTCACACAAGGCAAATTTTAACCTTGCCTGAGCATGTTTAACCCCCAAAGCC